AAAAAAAGTTGTTTTTAGCTATTGTGGAACCAAAGGAACTCAAAACAACTTCCTTAGCAAACAGGAGTGCGAACGAACTTGCTACGGTAAGGCATCATTTCATTCTCGACACCTATCCGTCATGGTGGTTCCTGAGCGGAAAAGTCTCATGTCTTCGTTTATAGTTTAGTCAACGTACGCAGAGATAGGGCGCCATTGCGGACGTCGCCGTCTCTCTTAATGAACTCTCTTGCCGTCTGCTCTCTCTTCCAATTACAAACTATCTCAATGAAACGCAACGGCGTCCAATCTCTGCATGTGACGATTCGCCCATATCTCATTCAAACATTTCCCTTTCCATCCATGCATCCCCAAAACTTCTCCCATAGTTTACGAAAACCCGTGCGCCCTTGGTCAACCCCAAATGACTGCCGATAATCGTCCACAAACCTGCTCGGTTGGCTCAAACACCTGTGCTGCTGGCTACTGGTGTCACTTTGGTGCCAGCCTAGAAACTACCGTATGTTGCCCAGGAAGAGGTAAGTATAACAACAAAACCTTATCCCCATCCAGTTTCTAGATCCCTCCCTTTCTTTTCAGTGCAAGGACAGGCAATTTGCCAACAACAGCTGGCACTTGGCAGTGGCAACGCTGCTCTGCCAAGATGGTACTACGATGCGCAAAGCATGCGATGTGTTCAGTTCTTCTATAGAGGACGCCTTGGCAATCAGAATAACTTCCTTACCCGAGAGGAATGCGAACAAACGTGTCCCGGTCTGTCCCAATTACTAATCAAAACACATTCTTTGAATCCTTAGAAAAAAAAAACAAAGTAATCTTGCATCTCCTCCTTGCCTGAAAAATAGTCCCTTATGGTTGTGAAACATCTTAAGATACCGACAAATTCTGCAAAAACAAATTCTGTCGGTGACCACGACATCGTTACCAGTGCTCTTATTCTTACAGTCTGTGTCAATGACCCCTTCCGATCAGCCCAAGCGCGACGCTAGAGCCCCACGCCGCGTTCGCAGTACTGCAGCATTCAAACTTGCCGCATCGACAGAGATCGCTGTTATTAATTGATGGAACTAGCTTACAATGCCTGCGCGCTGCGGATGCGGAGCTACGGAAAAGGGACACGTGATTGATACAGGCTGAATTACAAATAGCCTACAAATTCGGATCATCTTTCGAAAATTCAGAGATTGTACGCTGTTATTGTTGCACAACTGCTTCCAAAAAATTCCCTAAAAATTGCACTTAAAATTGTAACAAAGCAGAAATTTTTTGAAAATTGGATAATATTTAGTTTACTTTCTGGCTTGGTTGTAAGAGCCAAATGCACCATGTAGGACCACAGTTTTCAAGGAATCGACTAGTTCATCAAAATAGCTATTTAAAGCTTATATGAAATCGTACAATGCTTCTTGATTTGAACTAGCCACACAAATGAATTCTTATAGAAATTGATCATACAAATTATTCCGGTTTCAGCTACTGTATATATGCGCAGAGTTGCGCAGGGGTTTTGATAGTTTGATAGGTCGGAGAAAAGAATGCCGCTTTTAGTTTTTCGTCATGGCATCCTAACACCGCAAAACCCAAATACGTGCATGGGGTACCACTCGATAGGGCAAAGCATGCTTTACAAAATGGCATCACTGCTTTTGCACCATCTCCGTCTCCAAAATCTCTACACCCCCAACTTACTCACAAACACACACCCCTCATCAGCATTCATATGCGCAGTTGCTGAGATTTCTCCTTGGCTAGATATCGAAAAATTGATTTTCACGCTTCTGCCAAAGTGATGCTGGACTGTTCCTG